ATGTGCATCACTGATAGCGGTCCTTTCTTGGACGCCCATGTGCACCATTCTTTTGACTTTCTCTTAATGATTTGCATGCGGGTACAGTGTTTTTACTTCTCCAAGGTTTGCCAAAGCACAGCATGTATCCTGGTCTTGCAGCACAGTGACTGCTTCCTCAAGGACAGTTTGGGCATGGCTAAGTCAAAATAGCAAAACATGAAACAGTAAGTGGCACACCCCAGCATCCAAAGAGAGGGAGGAAAATTAGAGGATGGAGTTTCTGGGTTCTAGTGACTTTATTCACTCAGGCAAGGCCAAGGAAATGTGTGTGGGCGGGGTGGGGTGGGGTAGTGAGCCCTGTGGGCATGTCTGTGAGGGAATGTGTGCATGTATGTTTCATGTGTATGTCCTTCTCTCTTTGTATCTCTCTCTCCATTTCTGAATCTGTGTCTATATCTCTGTGTGTATGACTGTCTCTGTGTGTGCATGTTTGCACGCTTGTTTGTATGTGTATGTCTGTGTTTGTGTATACCTGTGTTTGTGTATAAATGTGTATGCATGTCTGTATCCGTGTGTGTGTGTGTGTGTGTGTGTGTGTGTCTGTGTGTGTCTGTGTATATGTGTTCTGTGTCTCTGTGAGTGTGCTAGAGAAACCAATTAATGATGGCCAAGAGACTGCAGTCCCCACTCCAGGGAAAGCGAATGCCCAGGTGGTCTCAAGTCTCAGTTACAAGTTGGGATACCTTCACACCTGGTGCCAGGTATGCGGCACACAGAGCATTTTTTGGGCAAATCAGAGCACATGGCTGTCACTTTTTTTATTCTCCTTTCCCAATTATGTGCTTGGAACAGAGCCCTGTGGACAGTTTCGGGTGGCAAAGGAAGCACACATTTAAGCAGCAGCAGCAGCAGCAGCAGAGTGTGTCTTACTTCTGTGAAATTCCATGCCTGGCTAGATCTAAAACTGCAGCCTTTCTGCTCTGCTCTCCAGCCTGGGCATGACCCTCTGTGTGCTCTGCCCCTTCTCCTGGGGGAGAAGGTGAGGCAAGAGCCCCCGAGGGCCCTTCAGTCTCACTATGGTTCCACTCACAGGCCTCTGCTCAGTACAAAACCCTGAGAATCACTGCTTCCTGTCCTTTCCTGCCTCGTGCAGGCAAGGGCCAGCATTGTTTCTTCCTGAGCGCATTGGCCTGTAAGTTCTCATCATGGAGCCATGATGACCTTTCTTCCTGAAGTCCAAGCCTGAGACTCCAGCATTCACTGCCTTTTGGAGAAATTCAATTTCATGGAAATATGGGGAGCAAAGAAGGAAGAGAGAGGGAAGGAAAGAAGACAAGAGAGAGAGCAAAAAGAAAGGAAGAATGAAAGCGAGGGAGAGAGGGAAAGGAAGGGAGAGAGGGGAGGGAGGGAGGCTGAGCAGGGCAAGCTTTGTGTCAGTTGTCTGTGCATTTTCAATCTGAGGCACACGTCTATAATCCTCATACTCACCTCTTTGATCTGTCACTCTGATTTCCAAAGTAACAATCTGGAATATTATACAAAACTCTCACCCATCCCCTCCCCACTCTATCAAATTAGACATTTAGGTACTTAGCGGAAGTAAAAGAGTGTAATTCTCCAAGTAATTGATAGTAATGAATTTGTTTGCTGAGTGATGTGGCTTATTGACGGCACTTGTGTGTGATCTGCTCTCTATAATAAGCGTAGTATTTGTGCTCAGCTTGTTGAGTTAATAAAATCTACAAAGTGGTTTTGACAAAGGAGTATGCACTCTAATGCAATTCTCAGTGAAAGCAACTCCCTTTTTGTGAGGAGTGTGTGTGTGTGTGTGTGTGTGTGTGTGTGTGTGTGTGTGTTAATCATCACTAATGATAAAAATGGGAAGCTAGCTGCTTCCTCGGGATTTATAAGGGAGAGCACCTATGGCAGGAGATGTATTCCCAGGACATCATTGGTTTCAGATCTTTGTGGAGCCTCAGCCCCTCCCAGCGACAGAGGTCTAAGGCAAAAACAACATTAAACATTTAGGATCTAATTAGATTTTGTGCTGAACTTGGGTGAAGAGGAGACTAACTTTCTTCAAAAGGTTCAGTGAGGTCCCCTCAGCCCTTTGCCCCGCTCCGAGCCCTCCCTCCTCCCTGTGTGGACTGGATATATAATGTCTGGATTTCCAAAGGAAAGCATGACCTGTGAGAAGAGAATCAATGCCACATTGCAGCCTCCTCAGAGAAGCTGCTGCTTAAAAAAAAAATATTGTTATCCATGTGAACGGAGTAATTAAAATGAACTAATCATTTCCCAAAATATTTATGTATTGAAAGCAATTCCAACTGATTGCCTTTAAATAGCATTTTATTCTGTTTTAGTCATAAACAGTTAGGAGCCTGCTCCTATTAGCTTTCTGGAGCGCCAGCCCACCCAGGGTGGTAATGACTCTGGAGGAGCGTCTGCACTGAGTCCAAGTGGAGAAGAGTCCTCTTGGTCCACCAAAGCCTCTGATCTAGAAAGAGTCCCTTTTGGGCTCTGTCCTTGGGCTAAAGCTGGCTGTCCGGAGCCCTAGAGCCCTCTCCGGTGATACATAAGAGTCCATTCTTCAAGCCCTGCACTGGTTCCTTCCTGCTTCAGCCAGGAAGAACCACAAGTTTGATTAAATTAAGGTCAATACAAGAACAACTACATGGCCAAACTGAGGGAATTTTAAAACATAATAGTGTTTACAGCAGCACTGTCCCTTTGAAGATGCATATGAGACACGTCTTTCAGCAGCGTAGGCAGCGGGGGTTTTGGTGGTCCAGCCCCGTGGGGACAGGCAGAAAAAAATATATAGGGATGAAAGGCAGGGAAAATGAACACCATGGTAACTGAGATGATTCAGTTGTAAGAAAGGTCTGGAAACAGAGAGGCCCCCAGTGGCAGGAGGGTGTAGGAGAGCAAAGGGATAGACTCTGAAGGCACAGTTGGGGACCTGCTTCCTTTGCTTACATGACCCTAAGTAGTTACATGTTGGACAAGCCTGAAACTCTCAGAATCTCTCTTTTCTCTGCCTGGGTTAGATAGACCTTTAAGGTTCTCTCCTGAACTCTAGAGAGGGCATTCCAAGGCAGAGATAGGTGGAGCTTAAGGGAGGGAATGAGGCATGAAATAGGTGTACTCTGGAGACAGGTAACAAGGGTGGTTCCCTCCCTGATGAGGGAAGGAAGTGCTGTTACTTAGACCACCGGACTTTGGAGCTAGGCTGGCTTTTTGCCAGGATGCATGAACACTCCCTGCACTGCACTGACCATTGTTAGGTTTGGCCCCTGCTAAGCTCCAATTACCAAGCCCATAAAGAGGCCCCTAGACTAGACCTATTTTGCAATGAGAGATGCTGGTGTGAAGACTAGGACAGAAGGTCCCTGTCTGCCGCTTCACCCGTGTATAGTATCTCTTCAGAGAAAAAGAGGCGAGCAAAGCCAGCTCTCCAGGAGGTTGTGTGAATGGTCTCTCCCTTGCCACTAACCCTTTAGCTCACAGTCCCTCGCTGTGTACGGGGATCTGCATTTACTTACCGCTGGTAATAAATGTGTCACCCATTCTTTTAACTTTGACCAGATCTCTGGTCTACTGTTCACTGTTAGAACACATTGCTTTCCCATCAATGCCCTTGAGTATCCCCAATTCCTCATAGGCACTTTATAAGCCTCACTGCCAATCAGAACTGCCTGTCTAGTGCAGCTGCCCTGGTCTTGGAAAGCAGGTACATTCCTCCATTTGCCTGCTCCGGATACTTGGTGTGAACCATACTGGTAAGTTTGATGTGCGTCAGGCATAAGGCAAATCTAGATTCTTCCTTGGGACTCTAAACCCATTTGTTGATAGTGAACCCATGGGCTTTTTGTGGGAGATTCTGAAGGATGGAACTGGAAGGGACTTGAGCTGTAACTGCAAGTTCTTGGGGAGGATATATCACAGTGCTTTTATTTCCAAAGCACTTTCTATGTTGCTGAGAGAGGCTGAGAGAGAGAGAAAGAGAGAGAGAGAGAGAGAGAGAGAGAGAGAGAGAGAGAGAGAGAGAGAGAGAGAAGAATAGAGTGATACTGAAGCATAACCTTCAAGCTCTGTGGTTTTGCATTTTTATTTCACTTACATGTTCATTGCATTTCAAGAATTGCTGAGTAAGAGGCAAGAAAACCTTTGCTCAATCACATGGCTGCTTCTCCTGCCCCTCCTTTCCGATAGCATGTGACAGAGCCTCTCTGCTCCTCTAATGTTGACTGATCACTTCCGATTTTCCCTTCACCTTGCCAGTGAATGGACTGTTGGTGACCCAGATGGACAAAGAGCAACATCAAGTCTAAGTATACTGGGCACAGAATCAGCCAAGAGGTTCAGCCTCTCCTGTGTGGCATCAGTGTGTGTCAGAGATGAGGCAGGAGCATGTCTCTAGGGCAGGAGACAGAGAAAGGACTCTTACTGGTCTTACCATAGCTTAACCTTGCAAATGAACTTGAAATCTTAGTTGGCCCTGATTTAAAAACTGGAGGGAGCAGATCTAGAGTCTTGCTTTTGATTGCCAGTCTTTAATCAGAATTTGAATTAGAGAGTGGGTTGGGCGACTGGGAGGCCTGTTGACAGAGAAGTGCCAACAGAAGACAAAAAATAAATCTTCAAAAATACATTCTGATATCTTTTGGTTGGGCGTGGTGGCGGGGCTGGGGGGAACGTGGATTGTGACAGCAGTCAGGCCAGGGGGTCTAGAGGCTTCTTTCCAGCCTCA